GAAGACGGTATGCGGCGGGAACTGAGATGGCGAGTGGGAGGAAATCCGACATGTGGGCCTCACCAGCAGGACCGCGGTCCTTTTATACTGCCTCAGGGGGCGGGCAGACGGGTACTGTTGTTGACCCTTGCGTCGTCCTCGTATATTACAATTATGGTGGCAAATGCATAAACAATATTGTGTTCCATCTGGTATTGAAAGGATATGATATTGTTTATACCAACGTATCCTTTATTCTTGACATCCTCAAATTGTGGGCAGATGCTGTTTATCGTTGGTGACCGCTCTTATTGTGCTGATAGATGCTAATTATAGTTGGGTGACCCGCTATCGTTGTTGTCGTTGTTGCAGATAATTCCTTGTGTCCCATCTGGCTAGACGTCAATCACTACCAGAAGATATATAGAATAAAGTTACTATAGAGGATATTATTTTCTACTAGATAATGTTTATTGGTCGACTTGTCGACACGCACAGAGTTCACACGGATGCACCCATCCTCTCACAATGTGTTCTCTCACATTAGAATATCGGCTTGGTGTGTGGGATTTAGCAAGATAGCGGAGCATTTCTCATTGCGGTTCATCTTTGGATTCTTTGAATTTATCCAGAATGCTTCGAGAGTTTTGCGCGCTAAGTTTTCGATTCCTGAACGCGCTTGGTAACTTCTAAATTTGCCGACTATGTATTCTTTTATGGGGGAGCGCAGTGATCTACCAATTTCGTTGAAAGTATTTGTCTCCCTTACAAGAGATCAGATAGACTGTACCCGAATTCATGCAATCACCGTCTCTACCATTAGAGGATACTATGCAGTTTTGCGTTGCACATTGACGGTCATACAGGCGGTTAAGAACTAGTTGGCATCTTAGAGTGGTCGGTGGCATGTCAGTCATTGCTGTCAATTTCTCTAAACCGGCCCTTTTTAAACAACGTTTTCTAGTCGTACCTATTTCGTTGGAAACGAAGGGCACAATTAACGGAACATTATCCTCACTAGGATTATCATTTGGAAGCGTGGTTTTTCTTCTTCACCTATTCCCGATTAGATACCGTTTCGTAGCCATTGGAAATAGCTGCTTTTGGTGGTAATTCCTGGGATTCCTCCTTCTGCTCTCATCCTGTGCACACACTAGCAGCAATCTCGTGTATGATCATCAAGAAGACAGCGAATTATTTTTCTTTGCATTTTCCAAACTCTGAAGAGAACGAATACGATGAAGTGTGGGACATAGTGGAAGGTAATATTAACTCCATCTTTCCAAAGAGTTCATAATTTAAAGCTATTACTTGAAATTGTAGTAAGTCGAATAACCGCTGAGGATAATGCAAACCAACAGGACTTAGTGCGACGTCATTAGACCTGCCAAAACGAGAAGATGCCATCTGTTCAAAGCCATTTGTGATAGTGGAGAACTTACTTGGTACTTGAAGGGCCCGTCCTCACTAGTTGTGCGTGTCCCAGCACAATTACCATTTTTCGGAGATTTGCTGGCTAAACCATTGTGCTTCTCTGGAATCACGAGGACGGCCTGGCCAAAGTCTGCCCCAGGTCGTCACCACGACAGGCAGTCGCAGCTCTTGTGCATCAGAGGGAGATATACCACCATGCGATTTTGATACCAGGACGGTGGTGGATCCTGGTATTGGTTCACTCTTAGCCAGGCTTCCTGATGGAAACGCCGGACTCAGCTTGGGAGACCCTGCCGTGGACGAGTCCCCCCGCTGTACATCGCAGTCCAAAACGCAGGAACACCTCCCAGCCGCGATGAGGCGGTAAACCGTTGAGAGGAGTGGAGAAGAAGTATTCCTCGAAACAAACTATTCTTCTTTTAGAGTAGAGTCGACAAGATGTGACTTCTCAAGAAACGTAAGTTGACCAGGAACAAAAATTCGTTAAATCAATTAACAACCGAAGCCGGAATTTTACGGTTGAAAATACAGTCTTGACAAACTTTCTCGTCTAAACCACAAGGTATGACAAAGACGAGTTCAAAGCGTTCCATACGGGCTTGGAGAAGTTATGAAGGGCATAGCATACTGTCTATAAGGTTATCACTGGCGATTTCCAAGATATTTTGTCGAGTATAACATCTGAAAAACATCCCACATTTTGATTGTAGGGACAGCAAATCGTAAAACCCAAGGAATAGAATGCTAAAACCATCCAAAATTCGAACATTTTCATATCATTAGAGAACTTTTGAGAAGACGCAATTTTCGACAACATCGATAAGCAATGCAACGGACTTATTCAACCTCCAAGGAGAAATCGTGCTCTCCTAAGCGATTACCAGCTCACGTCTGAAAATGCAAAGTTCTGCAGAAAGGCGGAAAGAAAACACTATGTGAAGAAAAGAAACACGGCCATAATGATTGAAGCTGTAGAGTGAGTGACAGATTATGCAATGCATGGCGAAGCGCCGCTAACAAAGGTCTCCTTCCCACTAATTGACGTTTTCAATCATTTGTTGGTAGATTCACCACTACAACCGCTTTATATACACCATATTTTCCTATCCGTCTAGTATAGCAATGCTCACTCTTGTTTGAAATGAAGGGCACATCAAACATGCTCTCATCGGGAGTGGAATGGTCATTTTTTGGCTTGACTTTTTCTTTAACCCTGGCCTGAGACTGTGGAAATAGATACCTATACAATTAGGTAAGCAATATCTTGCACTCGTCATGCACATAAGTGACCAACAGCGACAAATATTTCTTTTTTTACTTAGCTTCCGACAACCCTCTGCAATTTAACCCATTTCTGGATAGTTTCACCACAACGTTGAAAAGCACATGTCGGATTTGCTTTCGTTTCCTTCGAGTGAATGGTGTATGATGTCTATGTGGTGCAGCTGATCTTTAAGCAGTTTGGAACTTTTATCCATCAAATCTTTCCTGAAGCGGATAAAAGAATTATCGATGTATGGAACATTGTTCGAAGACGGATTACTGTTTCATTCCACACACATGATGATGACAGCAAGATTTCACGCTAGTCATGCATTTATTGCCACCACTCTGATTTGCGGGTTTATTTCAAAGCATTCCAACTATTGATCAGTTAGGACACTCCTTAAAGAGAATCACTAGCTGCACAGAACTCGCTTGCATTGCGAAAGAGATAAGTGCTAGTTGTAAACCTCCTATGCTTTCCACTCTGATCCGCTTCTTGATTATTGTAGGTACTCGATGTCTTATGAACACAAGACAAAGAGGCCGTAATACCTTTGTTGTCTATTTGCTCTTCGTTTCTAATTAGTACTTCCAGCTTTCTCGTATAACACAGTCAGCCTTGGGCTTGATGCTAGTTTGATTTTATGCTGTGTAGGATTAATTAAAGAACGAGTTCAAATAGATGTCCTCAACGCGAGTAGTGAGTGCTTGGACTGATGACAGCATGTGTTTTACTGTTTATGGGAGAAATTCACACGGCGTTGACAAAATCACATTTGGTCTCCTTCAACTTTTTTTGGTTCGCGCATCTCACTCCTTTGAACTATCACTTTCTTACGTAATTAATGTTACTGCCATTGTAAAAACATTCATGCTTGATTTTTTGCTGAACCATGATGCCATTTTCCTTCCGTCTATTTCGAACAAACTTTTTTTACTTTCCTGCTTGCTTTGCATTTTTATCTACTTGGATTTCGACACAATTAAGTTTTGGATTGACGAAAAGAAACCGAACACGCTTCACAGATAAAGAAATACATCTTCAGGTAGAGTTCATAAATGCCTTTGTCCATTGCTCGCTTGATACTGCTGACAATTCTGGTGAGCCATGCACTGTGATCACTTTGTGTCACTTTACAAAAAAAAAATTCAGTAAGAAAATGACGGTCCACTCCATCGACTCAACTCCCTGTACAATGAAACTTTGAAGGTCGAGTAGGACGGTGGCCGATTTCTTTAGCTGCCAAATCGACCTAGATTCGTTACGCGCATATTCCTATTAGGCAATATAGTAAAGAATAGTAATGGAAGTGAGCTCCGTTGTGTCATGCCTTTAGCGACATCCAAGCCGGGCCGTATCTGCATCTCTGAACTTCCTTTACGCCTGCTAAGGATTTATATAACCAACAACCTATTACAAAGAACGAATGACACATGTAGAGAGGTTAAATAAGGAGTCAAAATGCTGTATACACTCTCCGTCATACAAAAGGGATGACCCACATATGGTGCAAAGATGGTACAACTCTTTGTCTAAGCAGATAGAGATTAATTTTATAGGGCATCCGTTTTTGTAACTACTAACTAAATCACCCGCAAATTTAAAGGAAATAGACAGTATATCGATGACATTCTACTATGGACATTAGAGAACTCTAGAGAACCGAGTTACTCTCCTGTAGGTTACATCAGCATCGACGCTCTCGTCCCAAGAGGCCTGCGAATTGTGCCAGGTGTCGATCAGCACCGTCTACGCGCACTTTGCGCGGAATGTGCCCAGTCGCCAAAAACTCGCTCATCAACTTAAACATGAATGCAAGCGACATTTCAATGTGAGCAGTGCTTCTTTAAAACACAGGTTCTATTCGTAGTGATCTTTACAGTACCGAAGACGATGTCTTTTGCTTGTCAAACCGAACGTCGACGTAATATTTCGCGAGATGGCGCACAACTCGTTCAGACCCATTGAAGCATGCATGATCATAAAGGTGAGCTTCTGTGTATGATACTGTATGCCATATAGGGTGTTCTTCATCTAGCACGTTCACCTAAACTAAAAAACTTTACATATCCATTCAGTGTAATCTGGGAAGACAATACTTGCCAATTGTCAGACAAAATTGGTTATACCCTTAGCTCCTAACTGCTTACCCTTAGCCACAATGATACTAATATATTTGCAAAACTCCGCACTGTAGGTGTCTGCGGTGTGGAACGAACGCGCTATTACCCTTGCCGGGGGCTAACGCGTTCTCGTAATGCGTATTAATGACAACCGATGGACAAGAGCACTTAGTGACTGGATTCCTCGAGATGTTAAACGCACTGCAGGAAGACTACCGACTCAATGGCCAGAGTTCTTCACGAAAAGTCTAGAAGAAAGATATGATGCTCGACGAGTACCTAGAGCGAGCAGAATCCACTGGTCTACTCTTGCGCGCGACAGGGAAAAATGGAAGATTTACTGGCGCCCGCTCGAGTCACTCGACGATCAACGGGACTACAGGTGATACAGGTAAACGCGTTCACCACCACACCATACGCGCCCTTCACTTTACCTGTCTCTCAACTAGTTTTCTATTGATCTGTGCCATGAGTGATCACCTATGGGCGGGATTTATCTAGGAAGCCTAAATCGGCGATGAACCCAGTTAAGCTGGGGCTGTATTCTAAATTGTGCAGTGCTTGCCCTTTGTTCCTAGTAGTTGTACATAAAAGGATTGGATAGCTCAGCTAAGCCTAGAGCTCTCTCGTAAGCAGAACATCATCCCCACTTCACGTAACAACACAGAGCTGTACTGACGCTACAAATTAATCAATTTGCGATCTTTTATGGTGATACAATCGTTTCCAGGAATGTAATCTTCAAAAATCACAATCCTTCGATGTAATCGGAACTACTGGTGATACCTACGGATTCTAAATGATATCCTATGGCAATGGCTACACAATATCGTAATGTTCATACTGCTCATTAAAATACTTGGAATCATGCGCGCTTTCGAATCACTTCTCGAATCCAGTTTTTTTTCACCCAAGTTTTTGGCATTGGACGTGTTTGCGAGAAAAAATTGAAAGGTTATCGATGTGACATATTTATTATCAATAGAAGTCTATTTTACGAGATTTGTGACTAGATTTTTGGCGCAACAGTGTCAGTGCCTGGCTTGTATGTCACTCCATCGTTTGAACATTGCTCTATCATCTTAACTAGATCCGGTCTATGAGCTTGCAACTCAGCATATCCACCAATAAACCTGAATACATAGATATGACTGAGCATTTGACGAATATATATCGAACTGAAAAAGAATCTCTCCTAAAGTTGCACAGTAGTATTGATCCTACACATATACGGAACATTTCAACTTTCCACGCATCTTATCACTTTGAGATAACACAAAGAATCCCATAATGATGAAACTGTATGTAAACGGCGGCTTTTTCTTTCCGTGGCAACCATAAATGTTGTGGAAGTAATCTGTCACGGTCGAAGATTTCAGTACAAAGACCTACACATGGGATCGTCTGCCGACCGGTGCATAATTTTGCGTAGCTACTACGTGGGACGTCACCAAATTTCACGTTGTTCACGAACTTGAACAACTCTTCTGCTAACTGCTATCAGTACATAGTGAACTAAGCTTGTTTTTTTAATAAGAGATGATAATTAGCCGATAATTAGATAACTAAGGGCTGATTTAACAAATGCACACACTGTTTTCAGTGAAATACGGTCATTTGTTGACAAATGATTCAAACTCGTGCGCCTCCTAATGGATAGTGATAGTTTCCTATAGGTTCCTAGTTATTATTAATTATTCAACAAATACAGGATTTGAGGGGTCGAGAGCTTAACAGACCTATGCGGGAGCTTTGCTCCATGGCTCTAAAGGCGCTCATGTTAGAACAACGAACAGAATTGAACATCCATCGATTCCTTATCGAAAATGACGAGGAGGTATAGCGGGTAATGTGGAACCGCCTGTGCTTACCGTTGACGAAGAGAGTCTGAGAACACTGAATCGAAAACGAAAGAGGGCAGAAATATTGATTACTGACAAGTGACGTTGAGGGCGCATTGCATACTATGCATGTGAGAGGATGGGGAAATGTGGACGAGCTGCATTGTACCCTAAGCACTTCTTTTCAGTAGCTTATATTGGTATAAAAGGCTTTCACCGCATTTTTTGCACACAATACACACCTTATCCTACACAGAAGTTGTGTCAGGCGTGTCGAATAAAACTCTATAGTTAATAATTCACAATGAACTTGTTTGAGTACGACTGATGTTGTGGAGTGAGAATACTGAAGTTGAAGAAAGTATGTCTGACAACGATTGTTGCAGGTGGAGAAGATACAGAAATATCTCTATGTGAAGAATGATTTTAAAATATTAGACACTTGGAACAGCTTCTTACCAAATGCGTGTGTGAGTTTCATAACAAAATCCGCTATTACATTTGCACGGATGCGTGTAGCGCATTGCTCGGAGGCGCCACTGCGACACACACGTGGAATCGATCCCCGCGCCAATGGCCTACCAGGCCTTCCATCTCTCCGCGGTGGGCAAATTGGCACCAGACTTGTCTGGAAGAATAGCAGCATTGGCTCGATACATCGGTGTGCCACCGCAAGTCATTGTAAAAGGCCAGATATGCATTCAATCACCTCCAACGATACTTAATGAAATCAAATGCATGGCGCACCCCTTAGGAATTGATCAACGCCGAGAGCTTTACTTTCTTTTTATTTCATTGCCACAACGTTCCAGACCTTGTGCTTGGACAATTCATTTGAGAACCAACCATTTATAATTTATATGTAATTAATAATGTTCGCACAGAACTCAGTAAAAAAAAAGAAAGGTGTGCACTTTGCATGAATGAGACACTTTGGACAACAATATTCTATGCAACCGCTGTATAATGTGCGAAGCTGATTTGCATATTGTGCGGCATATTTACAATCATAGCGCCTTGATATCGCATGGTAACATCATTCAGATCGTCTATAAGTCTGTCGGTCACCGGTGCCATTTCCCTCAAAAAAACGAAACTCAGCGGCATGGGACCACTCCCATTTCCAATCTCATGCAAGTGGACATCCATGTTGAAGTCATTCAGTGAGGTTTACCGCTCTGCAGAACTTTCATGCCTTTACTAAACGCGACTCAGTGACCATTTTGAAGAACAGCCGTATTCACCGACGCTATTTGGTTGCTTGTGCTCATGCAGAACTTTCCACGGTTGTAGCCTTCAATTACCCAAGGTCTTGACAAGCGAAAAATCGCATCGTAGTCTGCGGACATCATAATCATGCCCCTCTTATTTTTGCATCTGATTTTCATTGTAGCACTAATTCTCAGCAATGGGAAGACTTGTGCACCAACTATCGATATAGGGATGTTTTCTGCCGCTCCGCAAACGGTATACGAGCTTCATCACGAAATAGAGTGGCCCGTTTTATGCACCGAAGCAAAATTTGTGGATCCGCACTATTGCCTGTGATTGAAGATCCACTACGTGTAAAGCATTATATCACAAGAACACTGAGCACAGACATCAACGACACTTTCGTCCTTTTTCTACAACTCATTTTCGTTAGACTGATATAAAACGTAGAAGGATATAGGATATCGGTCCACACATCCAATTTGTTTCTTGCTACTGTTGATAAGAGATCAATCGAGATTGAAAACCAGGATCCCTGAGCTTCGAATACGCGATTACCCTTTTCAGCGGCTCACGTGCTATCCACTGCACCACCAAGGCCCTTACTCTATCTTTCTCTCAGCCGGTTCTTTACCCTGACGGTGCCATGAGCAATCACTCGTCGATGGAAATGATTTGGGGGGCATAAATTGGTATTGAACCCAGTCAGCCTGAAGCTGCAGTTGAAATCATAAAGTTAAACTTTTATTTACCGCCTACTATTCTTTCATGGCAGGCAAGGTATAACGTGAAGTACGACCACAATGATGCTCAGATATGAGCAAAAAAGCTTAAAAAATTAGTAGATAGGAAAGGAAAGGAAAGCCTCTCGGTTGGTGTAGCGGATAGCATGTGAACCCACGAAAATGGTATTTGGGGTACCAAGTCTTGCTCATATCTCAGCACCACTTTGGTTGTATTTTATAGAACACCGTGCGGCGAGAAAACAATGCAGTAAATTAACGTTAAACATATTAATTTATACATGTTTTCAATCCATACGCGCCCAAACTCAATTACCCCCTTGGGAAATTATAGCTCCACTCATAGTGCACGCTATCAATTTAAATAAAATCTAACGCAATATGGAGATCTTTCCCAACAAAATACACGCCTTAATATTTCTATTGCATTGAAAAATTAGATTCTTTTTTCGAAGTTTCGAACTTTATATCAACTCAAACTGGAAATGATGCTATAGAAATTATTAAAATCCTTTTGAATGATAACCCGAAGTGTTTCCTAGAACTCTGCCATGATCTCAATCCACAAAATTCCTCTAGTTATCAAAAATCGTTGCCAGTTATCAGAAAGTCTGCATCGTCTGTTACACAGTGTGACGGTAGGTGAAGTTGAGTTCTTACTAAAAACTATATGTTTTCCTTTTTTTCATATCCATTTGCTACAACCGGATGGTTATCGCATGGAATGGCCGACTATAAAAAATATCCATATAAACCCAAATAATAAGTTTCAAAATACCTATAAATGAATGGAATTTGGTTTCATCGGAAACATAATAAAATGTAGCGAATACCAACATATCTAACCCTAGGTCAATAAAGCAAACTCTCTTTAATTCCGCGATATTCGAAACCCCATAGGTTCTCCAAATGTCGGAAATTGCTGCCTATTGGCGAGAAACCAGCATTGTTGGCTATTTTTGGTGTTTTAAATCCTTTCTAATTGTACTGTTTGTGCACGTGCTAGTAAACACCGCTCGACGGCAGCCTCATGGGCGACACCTAATTTAATGTCGTTTACAAGCCCGCTAGTGTTTAGACAACAGACAATTTTTAGATAACTAGAGGATTTGAAGGATTAGTAACAGGACAGCATTATAGAAGAAATTTGCTCTATAATTGAAGGATATCTGTTTCTATTTACTACACATTACTATGGTTCATTTCACAAACAGATTAGTGTCAGCACTTGATCACGTTTTCCAGTTTCTGCAAATACTTCATGATTGCAGATGTAGCTGAAGTGAAAAGACTTATGCATAGTTTTATGATATAGAATTCATTTATATACCGATAGTTGGCATACAAGGGTCTTGGATATTGCAGAGAAGAGCCCAACCTCTTATCACCCTCAGAAAAAACAGGGAAGGATTATCAAGCAGGTAATCCATCTGAATCTAGATAAAGAATAAAGGAAAGCACAGCAGAATTCGAGCGTTCAAATGAAAAGATACTAGAAGCATTATTAAAATGTACACAGCGCATTATGAGATACTTCCACCCCTCTTCAAGGTCGTAGGGGCACTGAATGCCATACCAAGTAGAACATACTGCCATACTCTTGGTGAACAGGATCACACTAAAGATGCAGTCTAAGGGCATAGGAAAAACTCCATTGGATCACTTCAAGATGGATACCTACTTGCAACATTTTAGAAGCCCATTTTCTGAAATAAACTGGCACCATACAGCCAAGAACGTAGAGGCGATATATTGGGTGCTACAAGGAAATATCAAAGCATTACCATTGCAAATACGTTATAAAACCTGATCAGATTTGTATTAGATGAAACTGCAGTAGGTAACACTACTGTTCAGAACATTTCGTTTCTGATAGTACAAAATGCACAACTATATCCAGTATGTAACGCATATAAAAGTTAACTTTTTATGAACAATTCATTGTTCCATTTTCAATGTTTGTGACGACTCATAGTTAAAACTGAAGGGTAAAGCTCTCGGCCTTGATTAATCTCTGAGGAATGCACCATGCATTCGACTTCATTAAGCATCGCTGGAGATGATTGAATGCATATCTGACCTTTACAATGACTCGCAGTGGCGTACCGATGTATCGCGCCACTTATGCCATCCTCCCAAACAAGTCTGGTAGCAATTTGTCGACTCCGGAGAGATGGAAAGTTTGCTGAGCTTTGGGCGCGGGGATCGATCCGATGTGTTTTGCAGGGCACCTCTAACCACTGCGCTATATGCGCCCCTGAGTCATATTAGCTGTTAAGAATGGGAAGACATAAGATGTACCGATATACAGCCATAACTGTTTGTTATTTTGCTACTCCTTGTTTTAATTAAGCCGACTTGTACTTTAGCTGCAAGCGATACAAAATAGGCATTACAACGCGCTATATTCGACCGTCGGACTTATCACAGAGCCAGATGGATTTCATTTTCTTTTTTCAGAACAAAAAAATATGGATTCTGGCTAATGTACCTCCCACACACGAAAATTTGAGGCACAGTCCTACATTTAGTCAAATCCACCAGTCCTTTTATATTTGAAGCGGTTATAGCATCTTCGTTTATATTCTGCAAAGATCGTTTGTGTTGAGCAAAACAACGTCAGCCATAAATTTATAGACAGTCAAATGAGCTATTTTTTAAGAAGCCTACCCTCTCCACATACAATATCCCATCATCATTTAGCTCATCCTTCGCTTTTATACAGTAAGGGCAATGGTTTTTCGTGTACACCACAACAGGATGCTTGTGAACCTGAGAGCAATATGTCAAAATATTACCACTTACATATGTTTATCACAAAGTACAAGAGGAACTCGCGAAAGCAAATAAATTATAAACCATGCACTGGATATCAGAAAGAGACTGTATCATGGCTAGCCAACACACTTTAAAGATACAAATTAAAACGAAACCTCGTCATGAATCACTTTGGATTCCTCGGAAAGCACCGGTTTTGAAGAACTGCTCCCCATCAATCTAGTACAACAACCATTCTGTCTTACGGACTACAGTCTTAAGTAGTAGTACTGATAGCCTTATATTGATATGCTTTATCACAAGGAAGTGAAAAACATGACGTCAAATAGATTTAATCTTTACAGAACTCTCCAAGTGCTAATACACAATGAATTTCATAAAACTAGTTAGTCATTAGATTAGTTTTGTAAAAAGAAATAGTACAAGTGACGTATGCAAATGTGAATGCAGATGGGAGTGGTCATGTAGATGAAAAATTAGAGTTCTCTGATGTCATCTATAAGAAGGAATCTGACAACGTATGTAACACTGAAAAGCGTAGTACTATAGAATATATCGCAGAATATTGTCACTCATACGTCGTACTCGAGACTTTATTTTAAACAAGTCATATCCATAAGGACCTCAATGTTATTTCATGCACAAGGATGTTAGTCAAAGGAAATCAGGGGCTGCTCAGCAGTCTCCACTTGATGAGCAGGCGGTGGCTCAGAACCTATAAAACACTTCAACTCAGACGAACCACATTTTCTGGTAATACAGTCTTAATCCTTTTCTTTATTTCAATCCTAGTTTTCTATTCTATTCTCCAAAAAATCCTATTTTTTCCCATTCTTTAAAATTTACAACGTCCATAACATACACACACCATTTCCAGAGTTTTGAACTTGATACTCAGGATTTTTTGCTGTTGGGTACTGCTGGATCAATGTTTGATGGGCATTGTTTGCAAGTGGCATATGTGCACCGCTTTGTGATAGGTTTCCATGATCTGGTGACGGCTATAAAAAACTGCAGACGTATATCGATAAGAATACAAAATTTACCCCTAAGAGCTATTAGAGACTATTCATGGTAGATTCAATTGAAACTATATTCCTAACCACAGAAAATAGGAAGCTTCTTCGTTTAGCTTGAATGCCCGCGACAATGAAGAATTACCTTATAAGATGCGGGAACAATTGGTTGAGGAGGAGTGTAATAAACTTGTTGAGGGTGAGGGGCTGAATGTTGAAGTGGCTGGTTATTCGTATTCGTCAACGTCACCTGTTGTTGTCCATGACAAGTGAGATTTCCATAAGGAGCTGTAAATCTTTTGGAAAAGGAAAACAAATAACAGCCCGAAAAGCCACCAAGAACGTCCGTGAAAAAACCTTGGTGATTTGTTGTAACCTGATCCTGCCATTGGTTTGTAGGTACAGTAGAGTTAGGATACTGCTGATATCCTGTCTGGGTCTGAGCATACTGCTGTTGAGGAAAACCTTGATATCCAGGAACAACGTAGCCAGCTAAAACAGAGATACTAACGTCTTGAAAAGGAAAAGTACTAGTAGAAGTAATCTGAACAAGAAAAAACCCCACCGTAGGCGCTTTGTGCCGCAGTAGATTGCTGTGAGCCGTATCCAGGATAATAGGATCCGGGCTGCATCTAAGCAGTAGATTCTGATCGACATTTCCATCGTAATTTCCTACTCTGCGTTAAATAAACCACTGAAAAATCAACAAAATGAATGCCTTCATACCTGCCCCCGTCTTGCTTGCATCTCTTGGTGCTGAAACCGTTGCAGAGCGGCGTTTCGTTGCTCCATTAACATCACCTTAACGAGTGATTCAGAAATACGGTGGTAGATTCTTACAAAACGCAAAACCCTACATGCTTCTTCATGCGCATCATCTCCAATGTTTGTTTCATTTGAGCTTGTCTTTGTCTTTGCTCCTCAGCGAGTCGTTCGTGCCGGCGCCTCTCGTGTTCTTTACGCAACTCATCAATTGCCAGACGAGCCTCACTGATATGAGCAAGATGGTCTTGTAGGGTCTCATGAAAGGCTGGAATAAATTCCCAGTAAGCGAAACAGATTAAGGTACGGTATTCAAGACAACCACGAAAGATGCACTTCTCTCTTCATCAAGCTTGCTTAAGGCACCCAACACTTGAGAATGAAACTCTGTTAGTGTGGAAAATAGTCCTTGTATAGCAGTATCATTTAAAACGGAACGACCTCTAGCACTATTCGAGCGGATGCGATTTTCCATAACAGTTACCTGAAAAGTTAAATACATCGCTTTTCACGAGTTCTAAAAATAAAGATGATGCTCTTGGACCTTTGGAAAGCACTCCTACTTTTATCTGAAGTAGTACATCTAAATACGGAACAAAGAAACCTATCTAGAGAATTCAAGTGATTCTAAAGGTTTTCGAACAAGTAGGAACGCCACCTCTAAAACTACACCTGTGCCTTCAACTGTGCGCACCACTTCAACGTTCCCTCTGTTTGAAACTTGATGTCATCCACCACATTCGCATTCTGTACTAAAGACAACTGAGCAATCCCGGCCTGTGTGGAAGCGACTGCATTAACTAATGGTGCAACTGAAGCGTCGCTCGGAAGTGGAGCCGAAGCTGATACACCAGCCCATTCTTCGACCTATAAAGCATTGGGGATGTACCGATTACGAATAGAATTACTAAAGAACGTTGGATTAATAACAAAATGATATGCGATAATTCTAAGGGCGCGTAGCACAATGGTTAAGAGCACTGCAATAGACGCTGGATCGGTTGCTGGTCCGATCTCGCGCCACAATGTTGGCAATCATTCCATCCCTTCGAGGTCGAAAATTGCCATAAAACTTGTGTGGTAGGATAAAAGTACAGACTTGATACAACAGTAAGTCACTGCAAGTCGTCGTTAGCTGTATATACACCCGACTACTTCTATGATGATGAATGCATGGCGCATTCCTTAGGGATTGATTAACACCAAAAACTCCAAAAAACAATCGTTACTATGGTACTCTTAACATCCTAAAATTACAGCTAACAGTCTTGATCTGATCAGTTGAAATTTTCTCCTCGTTTCTAAACTTACAAAAGAGTAAGACGTCACATAAACACTTCCATAACTTCAACAACTAAAACTCAATGGGTAAATTTTATTCTCATAGTAAACAGGTTACTTTAAAAATTCACCGTTTGCTTCTTTATAAGTCCTCCAGTTACCTGATGGAAATCAGCTACAGAGTCTTACTTGGGTGAGGGCGATTTGGCTCAGGCCAAAAAATTAGCCTGAGATACGGCGCGAGTTCACCCACGGTAACAAAGCACTCCTTGCTGTTCAATTCAAATCTATCGAATTTATCCAAAATGCTTCAGCAGTTTCACGAGCTGATGTTCTGGATTTGTGTGCGGGGATAATGACTTCTACTTAAAATTCATCTAAGTTATGTCCTTGTGATAACGGATTTCTTGCAAAACATGTGAAAACGAATATGTTGGCTGAATGTGGGCCACTTGGCCTCCGTAAAAAACAGCATCTGGTTGAGAAGCTTAAACCAATCCAGACAGTCCACCAGGGACGCATAAGGCAAAACAACATAACATTTTGAATCAAATTCACTACCTTAACCCTTTTATTTACTGCCTTTTTCTTTTTAATGGCAAAGTATGTTGCGAAATATAACTCGTATATAATGTTGAGATATTTGCAAAACTCCGGACCGCAGGTGTATGCGGTGGGAAACGAACGCGCTATTGTCCTTTTCGGGGAGTAGCGCGTTCACCACCACACCATGCGAGTCCTTCGTTTCGCCTGTCTCTCAGTTAGTTCTATCGATCATTTGCCATCAGCAATCACCCGTCAGAGGGATCTCCCTGGAAAGGACAATAGCGCGCGTTCGTTCCCCACCGCATACACCTGCGGTCCGGAGTTTTGCAAATATCTCAGCATTACATACAAATTCACTATCTTCGCAAAGGAATCTAAAAAAATAGCGCGTAAAACTCTTGAAACGTTCTGAACATATTCCAAAAATTCAAAAATGAACATCAAGGTGCTTTGCGATCATGTGTGAACTCGCGCCATAGCTACACCAATTTTTTGACCTGAGTCAGGCACATTCCTAACCCATGTAAGATTCGGCGTTGATGGTCTCCAACAGAAACTGGAAGGTTTGTAGAGAAAAAAACGGTGATTATTGACTTCAGTACCATAATGGCTGTATTTCACATCATATTCTGCCGTGAGGAAAATAAACAATAGGCAGTAAATAACAGCAAACAATATAGTAACCGAAGCAGCGTCAGCTTGAGTACGTTTAATGCGCGTTTGTGCTCCCCACATCATTTCCGTTGACGACTGATTGATGATGGCACCGTTAGATAGGTCTGAGACAGAAAAGCAGAACGAGGGTGGCGAGTGCAAATTTGGCCTACGCTCTAGGTTGTGCAAATACCTCAGGATCAGAGTGGTTGTATTTCACACCATACTCTGGAGTGAAAAAAATGATAATAAGCAGTAAATAAAAGTAAACAAAACTGTGACTCTTTAAAACAAGCTCTTTATTAGATAGAAATTTTTATGAAATGAAATTTATGTATTACTCATTTCTGTTGAGGACGTGAAATTGTTTGGCGTAGAGGATTGCAAGTCAATTTGACCTTTCCATGTTTTGAAGAACGCAAAACGGCGGAAACGTCAGCCAGCATCGTATCCAATAAATCTTATTAACAACAACACCGTACTTGCTTAAGAATAAAACCCTGATTTATTGAACACTGCCGACGACAACAGAAAGTCGACCATAAGAATTTCTTCATATGTGACTGCTCATTTGAGTAAAAAAATATCTGGTAAATATTTGACAAGAATTTCTTCAAAACTAAGAAAAAGCATGGAATAATTTTTGGGAGAATATGAGAAAACCCGATGAAGTGAAATGTTTAAAAATATCACGATTGCCAAGAGGTTGAGCATCACATGTACTACCTGTCGTCTACTTCCTCTTCAAAATTTACCGGCAAACGACCAATATCACCTGTATCACCTGTAGTCTCGTTGATAGTCGAATGACTCGAGCGGGCGCCAGTAAATCTTCAAATTATCTTTGTCGCGTGCAAGAGTACCCTAGTGGGTTCTGCTCGCTCTAGGCGCTCGTTGACCATCACTTATTTCTTCCAGGGCTTTCGTGAAGAACTCTGACCAGCGCATCGGCGCATCAGTCCTATAGTGCGTTTGACATCCCGAGGAACCCCGTCAATAAAGGCTTTTGTCCATCGGTTGTCGTTTATACACATTACGTGTCCAGCCACCTTATTTTCGACCAATTGGCATACAAAATGACGTATTTGATATTTGATCGCCGACAAATGTCAGAGCTTCGGATTCCCTTTCCGATTTGCGTCATATTCGAAACTGCTAGCACTGTCCTTCCGACACAGATTACATAAGTTATCTACATCCCACTTACGCATCGACCAAATTTTTGATGCACACGTTAGGCCAGCACGTATCGTGAAATCGAAGATTTGGGCACGGAGTTGGGTATTCTTTGTCTTTCTTTGTTCTCTTCTCTACATCCTCAATACTCATAGAAGCTCCTCAAGGCTCTCGCTTCCCCCTGCTCAATTTTGGTGTTAAGGCGTTCATAATGTTAATTTTCGAACCTAGATAGACTTAGTTGGAGCATTCGGAGATATTTGTTCCGTTGACCATGAATGGGGCATACGAAACCAATCCTTTTCTTAAGAACATCGTTTTTAAAAGATATACTGGAAGAAAAATCTTTCAGTAGGTTTTGTCAAAGGAGTCAAGCATTCGTTCCTCTTCATTAATGCTTGGTGTTATAAAAACGGTGTCATCGGTAAAGAGAAGACAGTTTAATTTCCGACCATCGATTTTCACTCCCATATCGTCCAATACCAATGCTCGCATGACGTTCTCGTGGGTAACGGTCAATAATTTTGGCAAGATGGTATCGTCTTGTCTACCGCCTTTCTTGACGTCGATGTTAATATCGCTGAACAATAGTAATATTTTGCTTGTAAAATTTTTATACAGCTCATGATGAATCTTTAATACTGAGCAGGGACACTGTGGCTGTCCAGGGCTTTCGTGAACGCTTCCATCTCAACTAAAGCAAAAGTTTTTTTTTAATTTATGAGAGCCAGACAGCAGTCTTCTGTACTCTGCTGACACTTCGATAGGTCTTGCTATCGAGTGGATATGGTCCATCGTACTGAATCCTTTTTGAAATCCTGTTTTCTCACGTGGCTGTTCTCCGTGCAGTGTTCTGGGGCTTCTATTTAGGATGACTCGAGCGAAGAGTTTGTAGACGAAAGACAGCAAGTAGATTGGGCGATAGTTGCCGATATCGTGGAAATCACACTTCCTGAACAAAAACACAGTCTTACTGGTGTTCCACTGAAAAGAGCTTTGCAGGCTTTTGGCCGAGTTGACTCGTAGAATATAGTCCGCATGAACGAGAACAGACCTACCCACGCACGCATTGACGCGTCCAAGTAGAAACAGAAGTGATTCCCACGATCTATTTTCCGTTTTAAAAAAATATATATATTCCTAAAAACAAAAGGTATGTGATAAATCGGTGAAGCGGAAACAGTCAGCCCATTCCTTGGATCCATCTGTCTCAGGGAAGCAGGGTTCGCTTTTGATCCGCGATTAACACCCTATCCACCATCTGAAGATACGCGACGTTTCCTCGCGACTAACCGGTATGAGAAATCTCAATGAAGGAGAACATCTTCTTAATGTGCTAACAACAGAGAAATGCCCTAATACATTCCTTAGACCTAGATATTTCCCTACCTAACGTCGGCACTCCCTATTTCAAATCATCTTTGAGGCACCGTTTACTACCAAAATTCTTCGACATGCAAAGCCAGAAAAAATATGATATAATCTCAATTTGTTACAGCACTAAATCAGCAATATGGAAATGAAAGCGGCATTGCTGTCAATTTCATTCGACAACGTTCAAAATAATGGAAGCAAGTATATTTTTAAAAACAGGGCCTGTGAACGTGTCTCAGTGAAAACAAGCAAAACGTGATCCACAAATGCTCACTCCATTTGTTTCCGCAGGGAATAATTTTAAACATAAATGCACTAAAGATTAGTAGATTAGTAGACTAAAGAAAGATGCACCTTAGTTGACGCACCAGCTTTCCTTTGCTGCCAATAGTCTCTGTTGAGGTACCTGAATAGTAAGCTTATCATCAGCTTTGTTTAAAGAAAAATGTTATACCTAGCGAGAGGATCATCCGCGGCAAGAGTATCGCTTGGAGATTCAGCTACATTTGGAGCTGCGCCCTTGTAACCCATTTCTGAGGGATTATAAGACGACAGTGAAGCAGCATCCTGACATGAACACAACAAACGATCAAAGCAAGAGTAGGAAATAGGGCTAACAGCTCACATTTATCGTAGAGCTTCCCATGGCATCACCGTTATATATAGCGTACAAAGACTTTTGGCGTTCTTGATCCTTATAAGAAAATTGATATTTCGAAAGCAAGTCGGAATGAGAAAAAAAACTAGGGACAAAAAAACAACCTTGGCTTCCGCTTCACTTTGACTGATAGCCAAGGCAAGAGCTAGATCTTCCTCTTCTTTCTCTTTTAGAAGCTTATCTTTCTCCGCTTGAGAAAGTTCCGCGGTAACAGGAATGGAGGCGGCTGGCTCATTCTTGGAAAATGATAAGGTTAATAATCGTATTGCAGAAAAATGACATTTAATTATTTACAGATACCTTAACAACTTTTGTGTCAGTTTTCGATGTTATCCTCTCATAGCATGCATCGCATACACGAACCTAAAAGAGGATTTTATCGCATCTATGAAGAAAAAACGGATAACCCTACAAAAAGATTTATTAAACCAACAAGACACAACCACACAAACGTCTACAGCAAGCAATACCTCCTTTTCAATGCCAAATTGAGGAAGCGGAATTTCCTTCGTGCTACAACGATCACAGAAAATTTGGCCGCAAGCGCGACAGTGATGTTTGCGATTGAACAAGGAGAATTCCGAACGACAACTAAAAAAGTTATGGAAAAATTTGAAAACACTCGTGTGGGATGGGGCATGAAACACACCGAAAGCATTCAGCTCCATCATGCCAATCCGGGGCCACCTGCGCTGTGAACATTGCATCAGCTTCTTTAATGGAGGGAAAATCGAAACCGGCAAGTTTCATTAGGTTGTGGGTATCAACAACAATCTTGTACTCTGGTTTGTTGGCAAAAGCCACAGCCCAGCACTGTAACATTTCCAACACCTTCGCCTTTACCTATAATGCAGAAGTATGTGAGAAACCCAATAAAGAGAAACACTGGAAGAAACAGAGAACTCCTCTAAAACAACTATCTACAAACGCACATTCTCATACTGTCCACCGATACCCAAATTTTTGAATTCCTCCATAAATTCCCTGGTCGCAATCTCTGCATGGATCTGTGACATAAAAAGTTGCAGAGTGGTATGAATATTAGCATTTACCAAAAAGAAAACCTTATGGCCACAATTTTTCACACAGGCGTCTAGAACGAGTAGTGCATGCATCACAACATGAGGATTGTCGTGTTGAATTCGTTTTCGCATCGATTGCATTGCAGCTTTTGCGCTGAAATTGGAAACTGATGCTTGTCAATAACAGGAATAACAATAATAATAATAACAGTAATAATGTAATAACAATAATAGTAATAATAACAATAGTAATAATAATAATAATAATACAATGGTACCCTCTCAACGGTCTACCTCATCGTGGCTGGGTGTTCTTGGATGTCGGGCTGCGATGTACAGTGGGGGATTCATCACCCCAGTAACGCTTCCCAAGCCGAGGAGTCCGCGATTTCCATTAGGAAACCCAACTAAGAGTAAACCAGTACCAGGATCCACCACCGTTCTGATACCAAATCAGTCGCATGGTGGCAAATTTCCCTCTGATTCACAAGGGCGGCGACTGCCTGTGTTGATGACGACCTGGAGCCGACTTTGGCCTGGTTGACCTCGGAACTGCAGGGAACCATAGTGGCTAAACCAGCAAAATTCCAAAACAGTGGAAATAATGCTGGGAGCGGCACGACCAGTGAAGACGGGCCATTCCAGTAAGTAGCGTAATGGTACAGTATATCAGGAAAGAATATTCAGTGAGAACTCACGGCACTTCTCCTGATCTAACAGAATCAAAACATGCTATGATGCCATCCCAATTCGGCTCTAGATTTGTGCTATCCGTTGCGGCTTCTGAAAATTGCTTCCAAGAAAAGAAAAACCATGGTATACGAAGAAGGAGAAAGTATGAAGGCGAAGCTCAATACATACCTAACAGTTTATCAAACTTCTTTGACATCGTAGACGAGAACGGGTGAGTCGTCCCTAGAAAACTAAATTCGGTTGGACTACATTCGGTTGATGAATGACAAACTGAGAGGCGTGCGTATGGCGTCCGCTGGAACAACGTAGCGCGCGTTTCAGACGGCGCATCGATCAGGGCCCGTCGATTCCTAAGGTGGAGCGGGGTGGGGGGTTGCTCCCAAGGTTCTTGCGGACAGTTAATCTTGATGAGTCACCTGCCAATTTAACTGCTCTCCCTCTAATAATTTGATAACCAGGAACTGCAGCAAAGGTGTATATGATGGTCATCAGCTGTCGTTGTTCTTGAGTTTTCTCTTTCTAGGCGTGTTTTCTAAGCTGACGTCCAAGAAATGCGTGTACGGTTTGTGTCTGTTACACGTTTGTGCCGCACTCCATGGTTTCCATCATTCGAGCCTGGCATCTGCGCTGTGTCAGTCGTGTCGTCGAATGACTCGCCCAAGCAGTCGCGGTCGCCATCCTTCCCAGTCGCCTGCCCCAGCTGCCCGAGTGCTCCAAACCAACGAGCCAAAGCGCTATGCTCTTCGTAGGATTCCGTTTATTCCCACTCTATTTAGCATAAAGGCGGCCTAGGCCATGCTCTCCGGAAAAGGGTACTATCATGGGCAACTCATGTTCTTCCTTCGTATGCGTGAAACACTGGGAATTCTACTGGGAGTTGCCACCATTCACGTTCACCATCTTTTCCAATTGGTTTAAGCTTCTTCCTGATTAATGCAAGATGAAATCATATACACGCAGGCGTTCACATAACTAGGTACAGCAGATAGGTGATGCTTCCCCTCGAATCCACCCATAGTCTAGGCAGCAGACGAATACACTAATCGCCTTTGGTCTAGATTTGACTTCTGTCCACACACCCACATGCGGGTTCGCTGTCAGATGGCTGTGTGGAGGCCTCCAATTATCAGTAGTGCTTCCTGAAGCTTTTAGATCATCCATTTATTGGTTATTGTATCCTTTCATGTACGTCATTTTCCATGTTATTTTCGTAGTTGCTGTTCTGATGGCTTAGCGAATCATCTGTGATCTCAGTCGAAGGCTTAGCGAAAATGGCTATTTTGTCTATCGATCGAAAATCTTATCGTATTGACTTTTTATTTAGGAGGGTATTTATTTATTATGTCGACGTGCTATCAGTCTCCCCTTCCGACAAATATCCCGCATAGATATCCAGGTGGATTTTTAAACATGGTTTTGTGTTTGTGCACGTTTAACCCTCGTGGATTGTAACTTTCCATCGATTTTTCAGACAATGAACGAAAACGAAGGCGACCTCCTAACACGGGATCGAAGTTGCTGGAACGACAGGAGAACGAGATGTTGTTCTCCATTCTTGGTGCCGATAATGTCTCTTTATCGGCTGGCGTCGTGGAACTGCTGTTCGTCGAGAACAAGCAGTGGAAACTCACATTCCGGGGTGTCCTGTCGCTTGTGAAGGTTTCGGTTTGAAAATGATCTGCTGAGCCTAGTGGTTGCTGTTTTCTACATAGAGACTGTAATATTTCAGGATTACCAGAATCGAGCTTATTTCTTGCGTCTCTACGACATACTGAGTGGGCGGAAGTTATGGGATTTCAGATTGTTAGTCTTTTTCTTATTTTTTTAATTGTATTTGTTTCCTCAGTGCTTTGCTAGTGTTTTTTGGTTACGATCGTGCATTGATTCAGTAATACTTCCTACCGCTCCTATGTGCGTTAGGCGCTAAGGACCCTTTAATCTTTTTTTAATGGATTCAAGTAACGATCCTGTTACTGGTTTTGTGTGTCTAATAGGTGCTTAAGAAGGTTATGCTCCCAGACTGAACGCACTTAACTAATCCTTAAGACGTGCAATCGTTGATTCGATGCATTTGGAAGGACACCAGTTGAATATCATTCTAACGATATTTAACTGTAGTCCTTAAATAAGAAAGATGGAAAGCGAATCAACGTCATGTGTATCACACGTTATCTCTTCGAACCGAATCGAATGAACACTAGTAGGCTGTTCATTTGCCTGTGTCATGTGCAGCAGTAGCCCAGTGGTTTCTGCTTTCTCTAGGGATCCTAAGAGCATTATTTTTTCTGAGACCGTTATAAACAAATCTGGCCACTGGGTTGATGTTCTTCACCGTTAATGAATTTGACATAACGTAAGAAGCAACCGCTGAGGGCTCTTGTTCATTGCTTGTTGTTAAGATGCTTCACATGTCCAGCTCACCAAGTTTTCAACATCTAGGCGAATAGAGCGGCGTATCCGATTTTCATTGACGTGGGTCGACCGCTCAAATTACCTCTGTCGGTTAAAACAGAATACCCATAGCGTAATATGCGATAACACATCGTATTACGTTCGTTGATCCTGCTGGCATAGGGTACAGGTGTTCAACGCACATGTGAAGCGTGGAAGAATCGCAAATCGAGGTGGGCACGAAGCCGGATTCCCTTCGTCCTCACTCCATACTTGTTGCTCTTGTGAGGTTGCCAAGATGCTCACTTTATTCTGCTCAGTTCTGGAGCTAGATGGCTCAACATGTTGGCTATTCGACGCAAATCCGCATAACTGCATCATTGAGGGGAATTCGCTCATCTGTAGCTGAATAAGGCGTTAGAAACAAATCATCTTCACGTGGACATCGTCTTCTTGATACTTAGTTGAGGAGAAGGCTACCCAGTTACCTTATCCGCTCAAGACTCGTTTGTTTTGCATGGTTAATGCTTTAGACGACTTAGTTGCTATAGATCGAGTTTCATTTTCATTTTTTACCAATCCAGTTTCTGCATGACTATCGAGATTGGCCGAAAGTAATTTTAACGAAGTAGTATCGCCTTGTCGAACTCTGCGCCATTTTAGAATAGGGTGTTATATACGTATTCAGTATGAATGATATTGATTTACAAAGCTTACATTATTGCTTCTGTCCCATATAAGTGAAAATGGGGAACAAGTCTCTTCACTTCTCTCTCTCTCCCACTCTCCCTCTCTTTCTCTTTCTTCCTCTCCCTCTTGTCCTCTGGCGATACTTGTTGTGTTTCTTTACTGTTAGATTGTGATCCACCGTTGTGAATTCTTTCCGAAACCTGTTTATTCACATGAGTAAATTTCATATGCTGTTTCACTCCTGAGGATAACTCGAACTAAGAGTTTCCATACGACAGAGGTCACAGAGATTGAACGATGGTTGCTCTTCTCATGTGGCTATCAGTTCTTGTGCTACAACAATATCCCCCTATCTTTCGTTGTCTCAGCCCTGCATTCTATTGGATACTGCATCGAGAGCTGAACTAAGTCAGTGACCGGGTGATACTATTCTTATGTTTGGATTTGGGGAACCTACATATCAGTGAGCGGCGGTGCTCTCCATGTTTGGATCTGGTGAGCCTATATATCAGTGACTGGCGGTGCTGTTCGTGGATCTGGTTAGCAGTGAGGTGGACTTTTCTGTCGAAGAGATTGAAATATAAGTGGTAGATTGTTCTGTCCTTTGCCTTTCTGGAAACAGTTACTGTTATGTCTAGGTGTTGGAGTACGATCCTTTAGGTCTTTCGTTTCCCGAAGTTTCGGCGAGTGTTGCGGATGCGCTTCCCAACTTCTGTTGATGCATAAATGATGAACGAAGATATCTAAGCCGGTTCGGTGTCTATTTGTCTGAACAAATTCATACTTTTAAAGAAACTCATATTGGCGGGATACAAATGCTACCGACTGTGATATCCTTTATTTTGAGAAACAGTTCTTAATCGACGTCATAGACAGTTTAACGGCGATGTTCTCGTACCGGCCGCCATTTGACGATAAACATGCTTGTAACATGCAGAGCATTTCTGTAGAATCTGATGTATTGTCTGGAAGCTTTTTCAGTGTAGATGAAAAGCTTATGTAGGTCAATAGGTTTCGCGATTTTCCTATTAGGTTATGGTTGTCTTTAACTGAACAGATTGCAGTCAATTTGACCTGTGCAGGCTCTGAAGAAGGCGAAATCCACGGAAACATCAAGTTTTTGTGAATAAAAAGTAAAGTAACAGCCTCGTATATGCTTATCAAGAAAACAATGAACTAGTGATAATGATAGTTCATTTAAATTCGTAACATTAATAGCTCACAGCGGTTATAGAGTTTAGAAGTAGAGGAAACAGAATAACTCGTTTTTCTCACAGTAGAGGATTAACAAGTTCGTGGTCGTTATCGTGCATGCCTTATCTACAAGTTCATGTTAACATTGATTGCACTGTGATTTTTACCGAATTCTACTTATTTCCGTCAGTTTGCTTTTTCAACGATTCGCTCACCAAAGTTATGCTTGCCACAGGCTCACCGATAGTATTCCCACATTGTCATGATGAACGGTGGTAGTCTTGTTACAATGGCAAAATCACTAATTCAAAATCTTTTCCACAGTTCCGTTAATTTCACGGGTTCTCAATTATTCGCTCATTTCATACAGGTGTTGAAAATTTATTGCCCGTTATCGAAAAATCTCTATCAAATATTGCTGATAAGGGTTTCGTTTATTTATAAGAAAGAAAATGCACTATGACAATGTATAACTTTTCACTTATTACCTATTATTCTTTCATGGCAGGGTATTATGTTAAACCCAACCACAATGATCACATTTGCAAAACTCGAACCCCAGGACAGGTTCGAACCTGCGATTATGCTTTCCGGGGGCTCATATGTAACCCGTTACACCACTGAGGCCCTTTTCTTGTCTTTTTCTCAGGTAGTTTTTTTACTTTAGTGATGCCATCAACAATTACCCGTCAACCTCAAATTGTGCTCTCCAGATCATTCTGATTGATGGTTGATTGCTAATGGCATCGTTAGAGTAAAAAATTGGCTCAGAATCAGGGGCCTCTGTAGTGCAGTGGATAACACATGGGCCACCGGAATGGGTGACCGCGAGTTCAATCTGGCATGGAGTCTGAGTTTTGGAAGTATCGAAGCACCATTTTGGTTGTACTAAGATAGTCGTGCAGTTCCCAATATATAATTTCTTGTTGATTTAACGTACAACAGCCTCTGAAAGAAGTTTTGTTTTTTTTTCGCGCCTTGGTCGCTGTTTACTTCGATGTTAAAGCAATAATGTTTGTGTATTATCTCAGAAGTCCGACTTTTTATAAACCTCGGCATAAATAGTTGACATATTTATTTATATGATCTAATAACCTGATCTTCTTAAGTTGATGTGAGGTTGGTATAGGTCCTCGTTGTCATTGTTGTTGTTGTTGTCGTTGGCGTTGGTGTTGTTTGTCTATAGCTGATGTTCCAGCGATTTCGCCTTCCTCAGAGCCGCGTTGTTATGAACGGGACATTCTGTATAGCGAGAGACTTTAAGTTATCACACTAAGTCATGTAGTGGTTCCGCAAAGCGCATGTAGCGCCATGGCTAGATGTGCCATAACAGGTAATTTACGTATAGTCGCTAGTTCAGTCCAGCCCTGCAAGCTAAAAAGGACAGTAGGCCTACGAGAGTTGTCGTCTAGGGCAAATATGCGTTCACTCATCTCGGCGATGCCTAAGCCTAAGCCTAAGCCTAATGCATGGCGCATTCCTGAGTGGTTCAACGCTGCACGTTTAGTCCTTTACACTCTAACTTTTTTGGTTTTGCGATATTGTGTAACCTTTGTTGTTAACGTGGTAATTGTAAAAACTGCAAAAAAGTGAACCATTGAATTAGTTTCTTGGATTACTTTTTAGTCTTTGGCAACCGCTTGAACATGGATAGCAGTAAATATTACGAATTTAGTGTGTTTATGAGCATGCTTAGTCTATTTGGATTTAAAAATTTCAATAGCAGTTTGTTTAAAAATGCTGGATGTGACTTGTGAATCATTTTTTCCTCAAATTTTCCTCAATGATCTTTTTCGAGAAGGGGGAATTAAGTCGTACCGACATTCATCTACCTTATTATAGCTCAGGTTATACAGAGACGCCGTAATGCCTCCTTTCGTGCAAATGAAGTGATATGATCTCGATTCCGATCACTTTGCGATCAACAGATTTCAGATACAAAGGATTCCGAGCTGTCGGATATGGAAATTGTCCTTATCTGTTGACATTTGAAGACGAGTCACGGCGGCAGAGCTATGGACTGAATTTTTCAAGTGTGGAAGAGGCACAAGATTTTAAAGGTCATTTGGACAAACGTCACGAGCAGGAAAGCAAACCATGTACGACAGTAATAGTTTTATTTTTCATAAATTAGAATGCGAAGCAAAAATGGGACCATTAATATTTAAACCACCATTGGCTTGCATGCATTAGATTTCTTTACTTTTTAAAAATTTCCTCGTTGAATATCTTTACAGTTTAACGTTTTGTGCAGCACGCTATTGGAGTACAGCTTTCGTTTCCTTCGCGTAGAGCTCTATTCGTGCGTCGTATGCTCCGCCTTCTTGAGGCACTAGGGACATCGTCTTCGCTAACCTCACGGCGTGCATATGTCTTATCAAATGTAACTAATTTTTGTGTAATGTCACTGGACATCTCTCGCTAACCTTTAACTGTGTAGCTGCCAACTGTGTGGCACATTTTTTTGTACGCGCTGGTGTGGATGGTTAACAGTGAAGACAGCATTGGTCAGCGTCACTTCAGCTGTAAGAACTGTGCCGAATTCATCACAATGGGAGACCCTGTGTCGTTCACCTGTTCTTCGACTCTTTAAAGCAACTCGCTCGCAGACATACCTGTTTCCTAACTTCTGCTCTTGTTTCGCAGCGTCGTTCCACTTTACGTAATACTAAATTTGAGCGTTGTTGTTGTGACAGTGTATCAGTAAAGTCACAGGGCTATTCGGACACCGAACACTGTCTCATTAACCGAACACACTTCAATATCACGAGCTTATCACCCGTCACCAATATCACGAGCTTTCCACGGTTGTTACCAAGAAGATAGTGACATTGTGCCTTACTCTGAATATCGGTAAACCATGGAAGGTAGCTGTTTACCAGCTAATTCTCTTCCCACTTCGAATGATAAATGCGCTATGTCACATATACGAGGGTCGAGTGTTTCTGGAGATAATATCATCAGGAATGTTTTACTACGAAAATCTTTTTCTGGTAATTGCCGGAATTCAATATGGGAGGGAAGAGTGAAATCTCCGCACTTATCTTCCAGCATATGGAAGCTTCGTCTGCCAAAAAAAAAAAAATAGAGGAAAACGAGGAAGCCACCGTTTTTATTGCAAATACTGGCTACTATGACTCCAGCTGTTCACCTGGTAATAATTCAATGATGTATTTCGATACGAATTGGCGGCAAGATGTGTTAGGTGTGTATGATAATCCCCGGAGCTAATCGGTCTTACAGCCGAATTAATTGCGTCTGGAAATGCATTGAAATCAAAACACGTCTTTTTGGAACTACTTTCAATCAGGCTTTTGTTGACGTTCTTTTTTTCGTTAACTTTTGTCAAAATTTAGAAAAGTGAAGCTGTACGCAAACCTTATGGCTAATTGTCCGCTATTACTATACCTCGGTGTCCTTGCAGATGCACACGTGAGATTTTTTGGTTTGATGGTTCCAGAGGCTTTCAGCTTCATATTGCCATACCACGAAAGAAATTTAAATAGTGAGGCAACCGTGAGAATAGAAGATCGACAGTAAATATCACCTGGCGCCTTTAAGTTGCTATTGTGTGTTCAAGCACCTCTAAACAGCTGCTGGTGCTGTTGTAAAGTGAATCTCATTGAAAGTAGGTACCTCATTATTTCGCCTTTCGAATTTGATAATAGCTATCTTAAAATGAACTTTATTCTTGCTTGCGAAAAAATGTAGTAGAAATAGTGTTTGAGGACATAATGTATTCCTAAGCATTCGTTATTAGAAAAGTGAAAATCACCCCGTACAGGCTGATTACGAATCCGGTATTTCCTTGACAACGGGACTAGAAGTTTAAAGCTGCGCAGCTTCACTTGGGACGCAAACATTTGCTTAGGAGCCGCGTTGTACAGTGCTCTCAGTGAAGCATAAGACTCGTCCTGTGTAGTTCTGAAATGATTGATAACTATAACTAAAATCGAATCAGATTTACTTTTACGATCATGTTTGTGGTTGCTTTCTAGCCGCTGCAAAAAATCCGCTGGCACCACCAAATGCGCCATTCTGCATGTCGTCAAGCACTGCTAGCTCCATACCTCTTACATCAGTATCCAGTGGAGTCACTCCAGTTGGCACTATGGTCCACGCTGAGAAAGTTTTCTCAACAGGAAGCAGTAATAGCTTCTTTTCACGAAAGGAAAAGAAGAAAAAAGAGAAGAGACCACGTATTCGAAAAGAAGATATAAGCAATCCCACAAATTTTCAGTACGTTTTTAGTAAATTACTTTGTCCACCTTTTGATGTCTTACAGAGTTTGCAATTATTATTAGTTTTTAATCACTTTTATCTAAGCACGTAAATACTTGACATTAAGCTCCGATGCGCTAAAAAATTTCGGCTTCGTGAGTTCAAAAATCCAAAATTATTCATTCATCTTTGGCAGTAACTTTTCTATGTGGTCTTATTAATTATGTAGTCATGATCTACTAAGTACTCTAAGTGCTTATGTCGGATATTCAACATAATTTCAGTGCTTCCTAATATTTAGCAAAGAGATTATGACATTGTGTATGTCTTTACGAAATGTCCAACAAGCCTCATTAGTATATAGTTCCGGCCTCGCAGAGGTTAATCGTCATGGGTTTTAGGTTAAAACAAAATTCTTTATAATACGTAATTTGAAACCACTTACTAGGTAATTAATGTGCAATAATATTTAAGATGATTTATTTTCCTATTTTATTATAGACACAAGGCTCACGTCGGGTGGGACCAAGACAATGGGTTTTCAAATAATATGTGTGATTCAGAGCCGATGGACGAAAGTATACAGTATGTGACATGATTTTCTTTTTTCTCAAAGTGTCTCTACTTCCATTATTTTAGAAATATAATTCGAGCTGCTGGTCAGGATCCGACGAGCATGAGTAAAAAGACTATAAAATTCGTCTACGATTTCATTGAAAACTACAAAGACAGTGACGGGTAATTACAAGAGTATACTCAGGTGCAGATATTTCTGAGCTAAACAAATATTGATTGCAGATTAATAACGGTTCAATCGTATAAGCCGTCAACACCTAATCTTCCGCCGCAATGGAGCAGCCCTGTTCCTCCACCACCTCCGTCTCGTACGGCTTCTCACCATCCTTCTGCGCCTCCAACACGTCCTCCACCTCCACCACCAGCTGTGACATCTTCGTCGAGGCCATTTGTAAAACCTTTTCCTTACGTCGGTTTATGCGGTTTTAACTAAACGTTAATGTTTATTCTGGTTCGAACTAAGCTTAACTTTTCACTTACTGCCTGCAACAATTTTTCAATGCAGCGAATACAGCTAAAAGGATACTGAGATATTTGCAACTGCGAGCTACAGACATCTGCGGTCCGGAGTTTTGCAAATATCTCAGTATCATTGTAGTTGTAAACTTAAGTTCTTTTGGTAATTTGAACACTACAATGGTCTCCTCGTCATCGTCTTACTAACAGTTCTTTATTATTAGCAGGTTCAAAGTGGAGACCCTTCTCGTCCTACAGGAGTCCCACCACCACCTCCTCCTCCACCACCATCGTTCGTAAACGTGAGTGCTCCACCTCCGCCTCCACCGCCACCACCACCACCTCCCCCATCCTTAATCACTAATCGTACGTTCGTGTTCCATGATTTTCATCGTCCACTTGTGTTTTTTGGTGTGTTGGTGGTTTCAATTTCTTCAGAAACCTGCTCTATTCCTGCCAAGCCATTTCTACCTGTTTCGCCTGATACAGATCTTGCAAGAGGAAATTTATTAGCGGTTTGGTTTTATTTTATTGTGGTTATAAAACTATAGTATTCCAAGCTTTTTTTTCAGGAAATTCAAGCAGGAAAGCAACTACGTAGTGTCGCATCACATGGCGTCGCGGAAAAGTCGAGTTCTAGCGATATTCGAGGTGACGTCATGGCTCAGATTCGCCAAGGGCCGCAGCTTAAACATGTTTGTTCACCTCGTGTAGATTTTTTCTTACCACACTAAGTATTCGAGCTGGTATTTTTCATTTAGGTAAATACATCGGAAGAGGAGGAAAAACGGCGCTCTGGGAGTGGTTTGACAGAAATGGGCGGCATAGCTGATGCCCTCGCCAAAGCTCTAGAAGAACGTCGAATGAACATGGCGTTAGATGATTCAAGTGATGAGGAAGGTTGGTTGAATCGTGCTTTGTAATGCAGTTTTCTTTATTTGTGCAATCTGGAATAATGACAAAACATTGTTTTAGTATCAGACGAGAGAAACGAGTGGTCCGACTAGTTTCCAGTTATCAGTTTCTATCCAACAAGTGGAATCCGTTTTATTCCTTCCATAACATGAAAGTTTTATCTTCCGTTAGTGTTTGGTGATTCGAGAGCTTTTTGCATATTCGGTGAATATAGATTGTGTAGCAAATTCTTGCATACCTGTAGTTATGATGGTATGCGCTCATTTCTGTGATAATTTCCTTCTGCTTGTGATCCTTGAAGTAAAGTCGGTTTGATATGTTCACTAAAGATCAGGTTTCTTTCCTTTCGATTGCCCTTGTTGTACAGCGTGATATCCGTTGCTCCACAGAACTTTTCGTTTGCTCAATTGATTTCGTACTAGTTGTACATCTTTGATCTTGTCACTTGAAGGTATCGAACTCTAAAAATACGCGTTTTATTCTGAGATAATGTAATAAAGTATTGATAATGGTGAGTAGTGTACGAGAAGAAATGGTAAAAGGATGACCTGTACGTACCTTCAGTTTTGTCGATGCACCCGTAGACCGTATAGGACGAGTAGGAAGACGTCAGTAACAGTTTCTGTTCTCTAGTCAGATAAGTGGATGCAGTTCGTTAAATTGCTGGACGGCTATGTTTTCGGTTTTGTGCCATTTGTGCAATATTCAGTTTGAACATATTATGGTAAGCAGAGTTCTTTCATTCGTTCCGTTTGGAATCGTTTCTTGTTTATTCAGCTGTTTATTGAAGGGTAAGTGCTAAAAGCTATGTTGTACACATTCATATTCCAATGCCGAGGTTAAGAGAAAGTCGATCTTGGGAGCTATGTTGTACAGTTCTTAATAACTCGAAAGAGCGACTTTCTATGAACCTCGGCATAAATAAGCGATACATCTATTTATACGTCCTTATGAACTGTTCTTGTTGAGCTGATGCGAGGCCGGTGTAGTTGTTGCTATTGTTGTTATTGTTAGTCAATAGTTGACATTTCGGCGATTTCGCCTTGGAGACGTTACGTTGTCACGAGTGGGACCCTTGGGAGTTTTAGGATGCTTGCGACTGGAAGTCTCGTAACAGTACGTCTCTAACTAAGGCGAAATTACCGAAACGTCAGCCATTGGCCAATAACAATAGCGACAACTATACCAAGCTCGCATCAGGTCAGCAAGATTAGTTCGTAATAACGTATGTGTCGCACAGTGTTAGGAACTATTTATTCTTTTAAGGGCTTAATCGAACCATAGAATCTGAACAGTCCACAGGACCAGGCTACTATATTTTGCTGCCTGTTATATTAGAGCCATGTCATTCATATTATTTGTGAAAGATCATTGTGACTGAGCATGTTTTCAAATATATTTCCCAAGAACTTTATAGTTGTGAATAAGTTTCGTTGTATACATATACCTAGTTATGTTTTGCCTTTCTTGAATCGATTTTGAATTGAAATGGAGCATTCGGTTATTTAGGAACTAGAAGTTCACCAACTTTCGCTTAGCCATCATATCAAACTTGAGGCAACAGCTCCAGGTAGTCATACTTGCCTTCCTTGTAAGGTAACGTGCCCCACACTCGGAGAGTACTCGAAGGCTAGTATTTTGTTTCCATATAGTTTTTTTTTTATAACGTTTCATGCTCACTGTGTTAGTAATCTTCTACACGTTTGTGTTAAGTTTTTAGCACGTCGACACTTTAGAACATCGCAAGAAGCGCGATCGGATGAGAGCCATCATCGACACTATTGATCTTTGTGAAGGGCAAACGGTTAATTTGCAGTTCTTTTTACTTGTCCCTATTCATATTATGTCTTTACATGTACACTTTCCTTGCTATATTTTGAGGAAATAGAATCCTTACAGCGTTGCGGTGCCATGACCAGCCAGTTAGAGGGAAGTTCACGTTTAGGGGGTCATCCTGGTGTTACTCCTAACTATCGTGAACATTCCATGCCATCTGTCCAAAATGGAAACGAAAGGTTTTTCCCATTACATTTTTTCACCTCGGTTTTTTGTATAACTCCTTAATTCAACCACTGAATAGTTTTTTTTATAACAACTTCATAGTTTTAACTGTTTTCATTTTAATTTCAGCTTCGTCTTGTTTTTGCTTCCGCTTACAAGCGTCGGGTGTATGTGGCTCATAGCGGAGATAGAAATTTTGTTAGATTTGCGCTTTAGTTAAGTGATAGCAGTGACTGCAAATGAGAGCGTGACTTACATACTAGGATGAAATCTATATTTTTATGTACATGGGTGGAGCAATCTAGTGCACTGTAATTTAACGTTTTCTTGAGTAGATAGGCGTTATTATTACAACACTTATTCCCGCGAGCCAACGTTCCGGCAGATTTGGTCTTTTTTAGAACCTGATAAGGTCGTATTGACACGCAACCTACTCAGTCAATATTTTCAAAAGTGCACTAATGCGCGAATGCACTGTGCTGTATTGAACTATTTGGATGGCCCATTTCACTAGTTATACGGACTCCAGTATAATTCCCATTGTTTCGGAGTTTTGCTGGTTTAACCACTGTGGTTCTCTGAAGTTCCGAGGTCAACCTGGCCAAAGCATGCTCCAGGTCGGCACCGCCACAGGGAGTCGCCGTCCTTGTGGATCAGAAAGAGATTTGTCACTATGCGACTAGTTTGATACCAGAACGGTAGTGGACGCTTGTATGGTTCACTCTTAACTTGGCTTCGTGCTGAACTTCCGGACTTCTCATCTTGAGAGTCTGCTGGGCGATAAGTGCCCCGCTGTACATCGCAGCCCGACACCCAGGAATCCCTTCCAGCAACGATGAGGCGGTAGACCTGAATAACCGCAAAATAATCTATTGGTCATTATTGCTAAGTTTTTTCTAAACTTTCTGTGCACCTTGGGATGGATACTTAGTTCGGAGCTACATTCTTTTAAATTTTTGTTGAGTAGACTTTACTAGTTTAGTGAGAATATGGGAAAAAGCGATTTTACACACTTTTTCAATCGTATTAGCGTCATATTCCGAAGTGTTATATGCTATGATCTGCACTGAAATGAAGAGAATTCATGATGAACAATGGAAATCAATGAAAATCTGAAGATTTTCGATAGGTTTTTATTTCTGTTTTTAAACAATCTAGTGTCTTCATTTCCACTGGGATTTTACTAGCTTCATTTGATTAACAGAGATGTAACAGTTACGGCATGGTAAACGACTATCTGTTTTCCCTAGTTATACTCTGCGTTTCGTTTCATCTCATACAAATTAAGTGAAAAATCTTGAAGATTATGTCGCTTTACTTCGGCTCATGAAACTGCGTAATAAATCCTTTCCATTTATTCAGGAGAACGAACACTGCTCCAAATCGAGACCCTCGGCATGGGGTGGCTTACACACAGTGTGTTCAAAATACATCTGGATCTTTGTCCTTATTTTGGCAAAGGAAACCAGATACTGAAAGGCGCTTTCGTGAACAGGTATCTCATGATTCTTTTTTCTTGGTTTTTGGTAGTCTTACGAATAAATCAAGACACTGATTATCCATTTTGTCAACGAAGGTCGGCGTTGTATATATTTTTGGTCCTGTTGTTTAACTCATACATTTAACTCAGACGCCTAAGGTGGTAGTGGAAGTCGACGCGTATTACTAGTCTTTATAAAAGGCCACCTTTGCGTGTGCCCTGGCGTAATTCCTGTTGTCCAATTTCTTTGGTGCTCAAAATGCGAGCATCGAAAGAAGAAACAAGGAAATGCGCCGGAAAAAAATTTATGTGCAAGGATAAGAAAACCTGTATATTGCTGGCAAAGACCTTTAGATTTTGACAGCTTTTGTTTCATTTAGTAAATTTAACATCGAGCCAGGATGTCTTCGAGAAGTTCAAACGCTCAAATGTGTTTGTCCACATATAAGTGCAGTGTTCTTGTATGGGGCTACGTCAAGGACAAAAAGGGTAAATAATTTGGTATTTGCAATCCTTGAGGCTTGCCCCATGCGTTGGGTTCCATTGAACATTGTAAAGTTGATTCATTGCATATTAAGATTATATCATTAACAAAAGGGGTTTACCGGCGTTCCAAGTCAGTGGTTTGATTCTCGCGATGGTGTATGGGACTAATTTGCTGACGCCTGAAGGATGGAAGGCTTTGGTTGCTCGGAGCTTGGGGTCAAAACAATAACCTTCTATGTGTTGTAGGATACTTCAAACTGCTGCGTTAAATGCACCCTCGATTGTTAATTGTGTGACTTAAAATAAATCAAGTAATTTATCACCAACAATAATACCACTGTAGATGTGCAGGGATTGTGGCAGGGATTTCAAAATATAGAAAAGGGTGAATCTCTCAGCGTTCATCAATCGCGGAGGGATGCACCATGCATTCGTCTTGATTAAGTATCGTCGAAGGGGTAATAGCATTCATATATGGCTTTTACTATGACTCGCGGTAGTCTATCGATATATCGAGCCAGTGCTGCTATTCTCCCAGGCAAGTCTAGTACCAATTTGCCGACTCTAGAGGGATGGAAGGTTTGCCGAGCTACAGGCCCGGGAATAGATCCCATGTGTGTATTGTAGCGTGGCTTTGACCACTGCGCCACACGCGCCGCTAACTTCCGAATATAGAAAAATGATTCGAAAGTAAGAATGTATTTTGACTCCAGTTGCTATTTTTAAGACTTCAACTAGTTACGTTTTGTTTATCATAGGCCAGTTCTATTATGAATGTTTTCTTTAAACATGATGGTAAACCTATTACCAATCCTTGGTTCAGTCGAAGCGTTGAAAAACTTTGTGATTTTTCAAAGTGTTAATATTGTTCTCAAGTCTGAAATTGCGGTTTGAATGAGCTGAATATTCCATCTATGTTTAATAATGCTGTTGTTTCTCAACTTAAATCGATCTCATCCATCAGTAGTTTGGAAAAATTTAGCAGTCTATCTTCACGCCACGAAATGAAATTTCGCTCGGAACGCAGGAGAGTCGACATTTCTTCACCGGTGAAAAATCAGCTGAGAGGAGATTCGACGAACACAAGTGATCTCTTTTTCTTCGTACTAGCTATCCTTTTAAGGG